GTGTATAGCATTGATAGGTGCAGAACTCTGTTCTGATCCTTCAGTCTCTATGTAATGCTATGCTATATTGAGCCCTCGAACACGGAGCCCTGGGGCGGATCTTGCAGGGTTCCTCGACACCTGCCCTCTCTCCCCACATGTGGCAGAGCTGAGGCAGACGGGTCAGGCTCGGCCACCTCGGGATATCGATAGGGCTGTCTTATAGGGGCCTCAAAGGGCTTTAGCAAGGTTTCAATGGGTTGCGGTGGTGGTAGTAGCAGTGTAGGAGGAGGAGGAGGAGGAGGAGGAGGAGGAGGAGGAGGAATAGGAGTAGTAATTGGGTGAGAGTAGTAGGGGAGCAGTAGTATCGGTTGCAGGACTGTACATGCTGAAGTTGCTTAGTAGCTGGGTAGGTAACCTTCAACCTGTTGCGGTTTACATCCTACCATAATTGAACAGGTACTCAGCCCCTCAGGTGGCATGGCCGTGCATTGCCCCTGGCATTCGTCTGAGTGGTGGCTTCATGACATAAGGCAGCTCTTAGTCTTAGGGAGTAGAGTCAAGATGAGAGTAACCTCCCTTCAGGCCTTTGCAACTACTACTTGGAGACCAGCATGAATCGGAATGCCCTCATCCTAACTCCCTCACTTACTAACCCTAAAGCCTACACTGTGGCCCGTATAGCACAGCAAAGGAGCCATCCATCCCCATACATTCCAAACCCTAAACCCTGCTCAGCCCTAAAGCCCTGAGCGCTAGAGCCCTGAGCCCCCAAACCCAAACCAAGAAGAAGCAGAAGACGTCCGACGTGAAGCCGCCTTCACAGACCACGAGGTCTCCACCGGTACTGTTCCCCAACGGCTTTGTCTTGAAACTCGAAAAGAAGTGCTTCAGGGCCCCAAGCCTTGTGCGGGGTTTAAGATTTTGGGCTTTGAGGCCTTTCGGATTTAGGGGAGTTTTGGGGTGTTGGGTTTTGGGCTTAGGGTTTTTCGGTTTGGCGGTGAAGCCTTTGAGGCTCTAGGCCCACTTGAAGGTTCAGGGGCTTGGTAAGTCAGGCTTTGTTCACGCTATTCTAACTTCTCAGTCGCTGACCATTACAGCTCACCCAAACCTGAACCTCTACACCGCTAAACACCCAAAACCAAAACCCCCAGATACCCTAAACGCCAAACCCCAAGACACCCCCTAAACCCCCAAGGCCCTTTAAACCCTAAGCCCTAAACCCCTGAACCCTAAAACCCCAAAGCCCTGAACCCTAAACCCCTAAACCCTGACGCCCTGCCCTAAACCCCTAAGCCCTAAACCCCTGAACCCTAAAACCCCAAAGCCCTAAACCCCGCCATGTTTCTATTGTTGAAGTGGCGGAGTGGGTCTCCGGGTTCGACATCCCAGAGACTCCAACGTCCCTTTGATTCAGGAATATACCCCTTTCGGGTTCCTTAAAGGGCTCTATAATGGAATTAAGGAATGTGCCTTACATCATAGTAGGGATCCTATTATATTTTAAGGTACATTCCTGAATTACGAGATGTTGGAGTCTCTGGGCAGGTTCGACATAGAGCTTCCCAGAGAGCCCGAGGTAGCTAAAATGCGAAGGCTAAGGCGTTGACCCTCAGAGGGCTTCCCTTAGGGTCTACGTTGCCCGCCGAGCTGCAGTGGATGCCGTTGCTCTCAAGAAGCCTAAGCCCCGTGATGGCCCCCTACGACATGAAACACGCGCAATTTGAGAGTTTCCGAAAATAGGGGACCCTAGTATAGTACCCTAAATAGTAGGCTCCATATTATAAGGACCCCAAAATAAGGTACCCCTAATTTTCGGAAACCCCCATTTGGCGCTGAAGCCCTAAACTGTCAGCCCTCTCGTTTTAGTCCAGTCGGAGCAGCTGTAGATTCTGTAGAAATGGAAACCCTAAACCCTACGCAAACCCTCCCAAAGCCGCAGACCCAAGCCCGGTCTGGACCTGATCTTACAGGCAGTAATTTACATACCCTTAAGCCTAAACCCCAAACCCGTAAATCCCAAATCCCGATCCCTAGAGGCCCTAAACCCTCAAGCTTGCCTACATTCCTTTAAGATCCCTTAAGCCTAAACCTAGTAGTCGAGTAGGGAATCTTAAACCTTTTTGGGCAATACAGTCCCTATATAATCCCTAGTATAACCAAAAAAGTTAACCTTTAGTTCCCCATGATACCCGAGAAGTAAGTAAACCCACAAAGCAAGCTTGCCTCGATGATGCAGCCATGCGCCTATCAACTGAGCGAGAGACCCGAGGCCCGCATTGGTTTTTCCCGGCCGGGCTTCTGGATATCAGGGGCAGACATGCAGAGGTACAATAGCTACAAAAAGTAGAATAGGAAAATAGCAATAGCAATAACAGCAACGGTATGAATCACAATCATATTAGCGATATTACTAACAAGAGAATTTTCGAAAATAGTTGGCAACAGTCTTCCTTATGCTCCCAGCTGCCTATAGCAGGCATCACGATTATGTACTTGGCACCTTTGCTTAGGGGCTGAGTAGGTAACCTTTAACCTGCTGGGGTTGATACAATCCTATCATAGTTTTAAAGGTTAACCCTTTTGGGCCTTGGATGCTCAGCCCCTAAGTAAGCATGAGTGCTGGGAAAAGGGACATGCTTCTACCGAGGAACTTAGATCGGAACTTAGTCAAGCTTATACGCGCTGCGACTCAGTAAGACCAGGGGTAATCGGGTCTTATCACATAGAGATAGAGGGTGCTGTCGAGGAATCATCAATGACGATCCCATCCTGGTGCCGGAAATCGGGGCTTGAGGCTTGCGGGTGGCCAGAAACGGGCGGCAACCATTGGTGAACTCTGAGTAATATATGGGTGGTTGTCAAAACGAGGGCCCCTTTTTGGGTACCATAAGTATGAGGTGCCGTATTTTAATAGGTAACCAAAAAGGGACCCTAGTTTTGACAACCACCCATATGCCCCGGGATGGGTTTAAAGCGATGATCACGTTGGAACAAGCCCTGAGCCTTCAACCCTCCACTTGGAGGGTCGGGGGGCTTACTAAGTAGTTATTTTAGAGCATTAAGTACCATAACCCCAATCAGGGTCCTTTTTAGGGTACTTATCACTCTTCTTATTACCTACTTACTAAGTCCCCCGACCCTCCAAGTATCGACCCTCTACTCTACACCCTCCAAACCCTCAGCTCTGAACCGCACCAGGCTCTGAATTACGCCGCCCTCCTTCCTTACCAGCCAACCCAGATTGAGGAGTTCATGCACCTTGGCAGCAGATGCAATATACTTTGTCATAGTTGGGTAACATTTCACTTTTTTATGGATACTCAAACCCAATAAGGAATAAAAATGTACATTTTTAATCCTCTCCCAACCATGAACTAGTATAGAGGTTGGAACTACTAGTACTGTACTTCATTAGTGTTCCCCGACAGTCCTTAAATGAGTATACCAGAATATGGCCTGTGGTAAATAGTTCCTGCCAGTTGAGGTTATCCGAATTCCATGTTAACTTACATGACACCAAATGACTTCTGTACTGAAGCGTTGATCTGCAAGTAAGGACTTTTCAAGCGTGTGTCAACACAGGAGCTCGAGTGGTTAGTAGTGATATCCTTCCTGTAGTAGCCTGCAGAATAGTGCTATACTGTGCCCCACAGCCTCGTTCGCATGATGTTGTGTTCGAGGGCCTTTATGTTGACTAGAATCCCATTCTTAATCCGTATGAATGGAGATCTGCCATTAGAGTATTTCGAGTCAGACAGAGAAGAAACTCGCCACGACGACTCTAGGGAACTAAATAACTACCTATTCTATTGTGGGGGTTCTTTTACAGGGATCCTTAAAAGGGCTCTATATAAGGGCTACTATGCCAACTATGGCCTATATAATTACCTATACTAGTTTGGAGGGTTCCTCCTACAAATACGGTATAAGGGGCCCCAAAACCCTATTCTACTTATTAAGGCCCCTACAGTACCCTTATAGATGCCTTAAAGTAGCCCTTAATTGACCCCTTTACAGGCGGAGTTGATTAGTTCTTAGGCCCCTGTATTAAGCAAAACAACCGAAGCACCCAGATGGTTCTTGCCGGCAGCGCACTCCAAGTCCCTTGGACTGCACTGAGGCTTCCGGTGCGGTATAGCTTTAGAAGGTGTGTTAAGCTCTATGGGAGTTTCCGAAAATTAGGGGTACCTCATTTTGGTGTCCTTATGATAAGGCCTCTACTATTTAGGGTATCATATTAGGGTCCCCAATTTTCGGAAACTCCCATATGTGATTTCTGGGCTTTGGAGTACCATACTTTTATGCCTTTGTTGGGACCTGGTGCTTAAAGGGGACCGTTATGAAATACAAGTCTATACTTTAGAAGGGGCCCCCACCCTGTAATAGTGACCATAAGGATTATATAGGAATATACTAGGGCCCTATTATATTCCTATTATACCACTATTACAGGGTGGGGGCAGCTTCTAGTCTATACTTTTCTCCCTGGTTACTTCAAAACCCGGACAATTGCAAAGGCAAACCCCCCGCTAGCCCAAACCTTAAAACCGAATCCTAGTCCAGTTACTCAAAGCTTGTCATGAAACGTTTAGGTTCTCCGAAGACCCCAACAGCCCTTAAATTGGCACATCGCTTGGATTGAGTCAGTCCCCCTTGTGGACAGCTTCAAACGAAATAGTTGGCTTGGATACACCTTTATTCCCAGAACGAGTTTGCAAACTCCAAAACCATAGAGCCTACGCCCCATCCTGAACCCCAAACCCACAAACATCCCTAAACTGTAGTCGTGGTAACTGCTTTGGAAACCCAAAAGCTCTGACCTAGAGAGCCCAGTACGCCGCACCTGAAACCATAGCGAGTTTTAATATGATGGTTTAAGGCATACTCCTCAATTAAGGTGTATTGGGCTTCGAATGTTAAAAGTTCTTTTAGTGCACCTGACCAAGTAAGCCCCGAAACCCGAAACCCCTGAAGTCCAAATACAGGTTTGTTAAAGCCTTGTTGACCAACGGGACAAGGCTGGGTGTTGGCTTCGAAAAATTGGAGCAGGAGGAGGGCTTGCGCGTGCACAAGGCGGTGTTGGGATCTCAGGGCTTAGGATTTTTACTGTTTACGGAGGGTTTTTGTGCTTAGGAATTCTGCGAAGAGTTCTGTCAGGTTTGGTGTTAAAGGTGAAGGGCTCTTTCTGACTTGGACTCTCGATTTAGGTTGGAGGAGGGCTCTGAGATTACGTTCTGTAATACGGTTCAGGGATGTTTCTTTCGCTCTCACACACTCACTTTCAGCGATAAGTTCTATTCGGCCTCAGGTATCAACGATTTTGAAAGTTACTATAGGGGCCTAAAACAGTACCAATACTGTTTTGGTTTCCCGATTATAATTGCAACTAGTATGCTGGGCCTCAACAGCCTGTTCTGATTCTAAAGGCCCCTATATTACTCAAGTTCGTTTGCTCGTGATGCCGGCACTGCAAGATGGAGTCCTTGTGCTTGGGCGGATCGCGGGAGCGTCAGTAATATAGAGGCCTTAATAATTATACTATGTTGGTGGTTCCCTATTACAATGATCGTATTAAGATCACGAACTGAGTTGCATGTTGGACGAGCCCGGTAGTACCGAACCCCCAATCAGACCCCCCCACAAAACAGCCCAGAGACCATAAACCGCCAAAGTCGCAAATTTTCACGTCATACTACAGCAGTTTGAGAATTCTACCAAATCTTCAGTTGCGCAGGTTTGTTCGGAGAGCCGTTCTGAGAAGAGGCACAACTACATCGACCACAATGGCATCCCGGCTGCACAAACTTAAAGGAGGACCTCAATGTAGGGTATACCGATTAGACCGGTGATTGATAAACCCCGCTTGCTTAAGAGGCCGATTCCAAGGAAAGTTTCTTGATATCAGGTTTACATTATAGGGTAGTGCTGGAGGGCTGACAGGCCAAGGTCGGATACTGCCCCCCCCACCCGCGCATAGCGCATCATCATATGCTACAGCATATTGCAGTATACCATACTTGGAGGGTCGGGGGACTTACTAAGTAGTTGCTTTATAGAGTTATAAGTACCATAACCCCAGTTAGGATCCCTTCTAGGGTACTTATAACTCAACCTATGACCTACTTCCTAAGTCCCCCGACCCTCCAAGTACTGTACCAAATATACTTGTTTGCAAGGCCTACTCCGTGGGCATAAGCTGCTGCCCGGCGACTTCGTGGTGATGGTAAACGGCAAGAGCAGCAGGAGACGCAGTGGTGGGTCTATTAGGATTTAGGGTTTAAGGTTTAGTGTTTGGGGCTCCGGGTTTAGGGTTTACGGGTTAAGGCTGTAAGGTTTAGGTAGCTTGTATGGCGCCCTTCTAGGTATACGCGACTGATACAAACCAATTTATGTTCTGTGCTTCTCTGTACCAATGGCTGCAGGTGGAGACTGGGCTTTGGATTACCATAACATGAATGCTTTTTTGGGGACCTGGTCCTTAAAAGGGGACCATGTTGAAATAACAGTCTATACTTGTTTCTCCTTGGTAACTTCAGAGCCCAGGAGAGAAGACCCTGGGACAAAAAAGGCGATACTATAGGGGCCTTACTAATTACAATGGGGTTTAGGGCTCATTATACCATAACTATAGTAAGGAACCCCCAAAACAGTATAGGCAATTATCAAGGCCCCTATATGGGGCAATACCGCCAGGGTGCACCCGGACTGCTCCGCAACACCGGTTCCAAGTCCTTTCTGGGGACAGGTCACCCAAAGCACTACACCCCTAAACCCAAAACCCTGAACCTAACTTAAACCCTAAACCTAAACTGAACCCAACCTGAACCCTGAACCCACTTTGAATGCAAGATGTTTGTGGGAGATGGGCTTGGAGAGAAGCGGCTTGACTCCAGGACAGAGATGATGGAGGACCCGACATCCTGAGTGCGGAGCATCTTTGCTGTGGGTTTTTGGGGTGGCGAAGGTTTTGTTTTTTGTGTTTTGGGGCTCAAGTTTAGGATTGAGGATAAAAGGTGTAGATTTTTAGGTTTGGGATTTAGGGCATATTGCAGTGATAGTTTACCCCTTGAACAGCTAAAGGCCCTCAGAGGGACTCTTGGTTTGAAACCACATTCGGGACTATAGTAGACCAACTCAAAGGCGTTACTGGGCCGTGGTGCTTGATGTCGGTCTTTGCCGGGTTGTGAAATGCGGCAACTTCAGTACTACAATCAAGGCATGCAGTTAAGGTGTACATTGTGCGGTGGAAGGCGGGTGGGCGCCCGGTGGGCACGCCCACGCGCATGCGTGCGTGCTCATAAACAGCCCTATAGCATACAGTGATCAGGGATCCCCACACCAAGGTCCCCTCAACCTTCGACCGGGTAGGCCCTAGGGCTCCAACCCTCAACCCCGCACGTCCGGACATAGACTTCCCATGCTGCCAGGAATTGAGAAGTGGCCGGACTGTCTTCGCAGCGCGGGACTTGAGCGAAGCCTGCGCCGGTAATCCCAAAGCCGACGAACTCTAAACTCAAATGGGAGCCATATGGGAGCCCTTACAACAACCCTTACAGGAACGCTGAGCCCCAAAGAGCCCCCAAAACGACGAGCCCTCGCATTCTAAGGCGGGCGCAGGTTTCGGAGTTTCCGTTTGTAGAACCCTAGCTCAGAAGGATCACAAGGCTCGAACTCCTCCCGGCTCGATGTTTCTGCAACTTGGCTCTTGTTGCGGATTTTGAGTTGGCTCTTGTTACGGATTTTGATTCAGGTTAGTTACCGTGCCTTTGATTAGTGGGGGGGGTTGCAGTTTGCTGTCAGCAGCCACCTGTGCAGTTCCGGTAGTGGTGTTTGTAGAAGCAAGTGCAGTTCTGTGTGCAGCAAGCAAAGTGGAGTGCGGTTCTGCGTGTGCAGCAGAGACAGTTTGTCTTTGCAGGCCCCAGCAGAAGGTGCAGTTCCTGTGCAGGCCCCAGCAGAAGGTGCAGTTGCAGAGGTGCAGTTTGCAGTCAGGTGCAGTTTTCAGTGCAGTTCCGGTAGTGGTGTCTGTAGAAGCAAGTGCAGCTCTGTGTGCAGCAAGCAGTTTGGAGTGCGGTCCTCGAGATCGCGGATGTGACGTCACTGGCTCTACATAAGCTTCGGCCTCTCCAAAGGGTCTGAGCGGCCCCACAAACGAGTCTACGCGGCTCTTCTGCATCGACACACCCGAACGGCCGTCGAAGCTCGTATGCTGGTCCAGGACAGGCAGGCGAAATGCATGCAACAAGGGGAGGGGGCTGCCATCCTGGGGTTGGGCCTGGTGTTTCCTGGCGCTTGGCACTACCGATTGTCAGGCTAAAGAGCTCTCCGTGACCGCTACGAATCTTGATGCGGCTCGGAGCAGTGACTCTGACCGTCTGTCGGAGGACTCGGCCGGCTTGCCTGACTGCCGGCGTCACTCCCCAGCTGGTTTTACCTTAACTGCGTCCACCAGCTCAGTGTTTCCAGGCATGGCAGTGGTCCGTTACGCAACACCACTGTCCAGCTCCTCCTCGTTATCTACCCTTACCTCCTCCAGCTAGACTACCTCTCACTTGAAGATGCTAGGACGCGGGTCTTGCGCCTCCTGCTACAATATAGTCGGATCTACAGCCGGCATGCTACGTGTGATTCTCCAGGCCATGCCTCACCTTGTCGCTAAGCAGGACTGGCAGGGCGTCTTCTTGCTAACGGCTTGGGGGCAAAATCGCCTTCCGGAACCCATGTGAATGCCGGCGGCCTACATGTGGAGGGCAAAGGACGGCGCAGTGCTACTTTCAGGTTCAGCAGGCTTTGGTTGACTGCTCAAACGCTTGTTTGCATGTGAACAAGCGGTGCCCCATTCGAGGGCAACCGCCGCACCTGAGCTCCCCATACCCAGGTTTGATGCCTGCTCATGCAGCCCAGGGGGGTGTCGGTCTGGGGCATGGTGTTTGGTTAGATTACAATACACTTCGCGCGAACGCACCTTGTTTAAAATTGCAAGGTGGCGTTCCCGCCTGTGCAATGTAGCGGTGGCGCTCCCACCAAGTTTCATCCGAGGCGCCGCTGCACTTCACTTCGGAGTTAGCTAGAATGCATGTCAACAGGAGCCATATTAAGGAAACAGCGGAGCCTGTACGACACCACAACCTTTCGTTAAGTGTGCCACCTTTTTGTTGCAGCGTTCGCCGTCGTTTTAGGGGTCGCGGCGAAGTTAGTTCGGGGTGCTCCTCCGGAGCGAACCTGTGCAAAATGCGAGGTGGCGCTCCCACCTGTGCAATGTAGAGGTGGCGCTCCCATCAACCTTTAGCCGTTTCGAAATTGAAACCCAAGTATTCTCACGATGGACATAGGAGGCCGCCGCAAAACCTCTGGGTCTGGCTGGCGTCGTATAGGTTTAGGGCTGAGGGAGTTTGGAGTTTAGAGTTTGGGTTTAGGGTTTAGTGGGTTTAGGAGTTAGTGGGTTTGGGTTGAGGGTTTGGGGCTTGGTGGGTTTAGGGCTTGGCGGGTTTAGGGTTCGGGGTGTGGTGGGTTTGGGGTTCAGGGTGCAGGGCGTGGTTGAGGTCTTATAGTGGGTGCAGGGAGAAGGTGCTTTTACGGCTCAAAATGTGGGGGTGGGGGTGCCATACGCGTGCCTGCCATCCCAGCCATGATCATCCGGCTCACGAGGACTCCGTGGGCAGCTGGTGTAGGGTTTCGGTGTAGGGTTTGTAAGGTGTGGGGCTTGCCCTGACCTTGAACGGGAGCGTCCTGTTCCCGAGGACGCCGGCCTTACGGCGCGTGCAGTTCCGTGTGTGCAGCAGAGACAGTTCGTCTTTGCAGGCCCCAGCAGAAGGTGCAGTTTGCAGTCAGCAGTCACGTGTGCAGTTGCTGTAATTCGTGCTGCTCAGAGAAGCAAGTGCAGTTCTGTAGTTGTTCATTTCAGTCTTCTATATCAGTTGTTCTGACTGGGGGGGTCCGTTTCCTCGAAGGACCGTCTGGCCGCACTCTATTCTTCGCGGCTCTTTGTGGTTTAGGTTTTCAGGCTTTAATGGCAGCTTCGCGGAGCCTGTGAACTCCCACCACACATCCTCCCCAGGCCGCAATCACGGCAGCCTGCAATACTCTTAGGAACACTCGAAACCTGCTTGTGTGAATAGTCCAGAATATATTCATCTCCACGGGCGTGAACAATTCGCAATGCAGTTAACACGGAATTATAGTGAATAAGATGGTTTCCTTATTGTTCCAACTTGAATGAAGTTCCTTATACAGAACCGCAACCCAAAACAGGTATTCTTTGGAGGTCTACAAAGCTAGAATCGACATTCTCTGATCTGGGTGCTAGATGGGCCTTTCTCGGATCTTGCAGATAATTAGTTAACACGACCCATGTCCAGTCGTCCTCTTATTAATGTGCTATCATATGTCCCAAGACCCTCTTCCAAGAAGTTCAAGCCCCTCTGTTATTGGCAAAAGTTTTAAGTGTCTGAGAGCTTGGGGGGATTGGGGGTTTGGTTGAAAGGTATGGGTTTTGGGCTTCGTTGGAGCCGTAATGAAAGTATCATATATCACAGACAACACTATATGAGGGTTCAAAATGATTAAAGTAGAGCTTGGTTTTTGAGGACATTGCAGTACAGTTTTGTAAGCGGCGCCTTCGGGCGGCTGCTACCACCTCTGGTTGGGATCTTAGCGCGGTGGTAGTTTATTGGCTGAGAGGCCCACAGAAAAAGGACTTTTATTTCCCGGTGCGCATGTGGCGCCACGCCCATTTCGACGCGTGGGATACGAGGGCCAAGGTTCTCATCCACCACTTGGTGGCCCAAGAGACCAACGAGAAGACCCTGCCCGATGGAAGTCGTGCATGGTTTCGGCTAGGAGACCCTTGGGGCCAGGACCACTGGAGATACGAAGCGGAGGCCTTCATTGCACGGGGTGGGATCGGCCCAGGCATTCAAATCCCGTTCATTTCCACTGAGCTGATGCCGCATCTCCATGAGCCGGATCAAGATACACTCCGATATGGTTTTCACCGCCTACAGGAATTGTATGCGCAGCGCAATGACCAATTGTTATACCTGTTGCGCGAAGCCCACTTCCCGACCAGCGGCAACGACATGCAGCGCCTGCTGGATTCTTGGCCATGACCATCGACACTGGATTGTACCCAATGACGGTGTGGGACCGCATACCGGCAGCCGGGAGTCTGCTATGACCATCGACATACGGCGTAGGGTCTTTTCTTAGAGATTGCCGCCGGACGTGAATTCCACCGTGGACTTGTGGACTTTGTGTGCACGATCGTGACACAACAGGACCCCGGGGCCGACCGTTGTTCGACGGAACTAGAACGGCGGCCGGAGCTTCGACTTTGGGCTCCACCGGTGGGCCTGGACAGCTCTAGGCGACGGCCTTTTGCTGTTGTCGATCGGTCGCTGAGGCCCCGTAGCTCGTGCTGAACGGCCAACACCGGCAAAGCCTGTGCGCCGCAGCTAGCCTTTTGCCTCTCTTTAACGAACCGCCCTGTTTCACCGCTGTCTTTGTTTGTTTGTTGGTTTGTTTAGTTTGTAGGGACCGAGTGCTACAGCAGTAGTCGACGAGGCCCGCCCACGCCAAAAAAAAGCAGTATAATTTTGTAAGCGCCGTGACGGTATGTTTTTACTGATGATTCCGACCCATCTGGTTTCATGGCCACAAAGCTCAATGAGGTGATCTGGCGCTTCCCCGAAAACCTTCCGGCGCTGGAGGTGTTGCTGTTCCATTGTTCCATGAGTTTCTTGAAGTGAGAAGCATGACTAGATGCCGCCATCTGGAGCAATGTTCGCAAGCTTTCTTTCTGAATCTGACGTTCCGTTTTTCGGGAAGCTAGCGCGACAAACCGTTGTCAGCCTCATCAGATCGTCCATTTCCTAATTGGCTTCGTCATTCAGACAGGAACCTGCGCACAAGTACACAGATTTTGGAAGGTTTATCATCTGGCACGTGTTCAAAGCACTTACCTTGCTTTCAAGGAACAGAGGACTTAATCCATATGAGTACCTGTTGCTGTTAAATGCTTGAGCACAGGGGCTAGAGTGAAGCAGGGAGGATCAAAGCTGAATTCTGCGGCACCCAAGCTACTTTGCCAAACTAGGCCCCAGAGCGCGAGCCCTAGGGGCCGCAATAGTTAGACTAGGTCTATTTTGCTTTTTTAATAAGGCACTCCGAAAATAGTATTGGTAAGTATTTAGGCCCTTCCAGAAACCGTCAGCAAAAGCTTGGCGCTTCACCTGGCACAGAAGCTCCTGAACTCGAAATCGTGAATCGTGACCCTTGAAGCTTCATCCTAAAGCTCCAAACCTTTTGAACTTGCAGCCCTTACTAAACTCGGCATTGGAGTAACTACCATACTTGAATAATTACTGTTTTTGGGACCTGGTACTTCGAGCGGATCATTATGAAATGAAAGTCTCAACTTTTTCTTCTTGGTGACTTCAAAGCCCAGTAAACCTTACTCCGTGAACCTGGAGGCCCAGGCCGCAAAACCTTGCACTCCACTTGGAGAAGCAGGGTAAGTGGGCGACAAGTACACTCACTCAAACCCTGAGCATCGGCATCCTAAACCCAAAGCCACGCTAGCCCTGACACCTAGACCCTAAACCCCTATGCCCTTTGAGATGTACGCCTGCAGGCTGATGGCCGCAAGTGCTTAAGGGCCATTACCTTTTTCGCCCTGAATGCCTTAGTAGCTGAGGAGGTAATTTCTAACCTTTTGGTGCTTATAATCCTTCCATAATTGGAAAGGTTAGCCTTTTTTGGGCTAGGGTCTTCAGCCCCGACGGTTGATGATATGAATCCTCATTACCCAAAATACGGAATAGTCTAGGGTCATTAAGGGTTAGGGTTTAGGGTCCATTCTTCCCATAGTCCAGGGTCATTAAGGGTTTAGGGTTTAGGGTCCATTCTTCCCATAGTCTAGGGTCATTAAAGTAAAGCAGGATTTGTATCTTCAACCCTAAGATGCAGGCACCCCCGATGGCACAGCCCTCCGTGACATGCGCGGATCAGCCAAGGGCGGAGGCCAGGGTGTGGGCTACGTAGGCTTCGTTGACTGGGCTTTGGAGTACCATACTTTAATACACTTCGGGGACCTGGTACTTAAAGGGGACCATTATGCAATAAGAGTCTATGCTTTTGTCTTCCTGGTTACTTCAAAGCCCAGTTGAAGGATCGGGGGAGTTTGAGAGTAAGTGTTCGGTTTGGGGTTAAGGGTTTAGGGCCGTTTTAGAGGTTTAGGGATTAAGGTTTAGGGTTTAGGGTAGGGGACGTGGAGAGTAGCAATTGGTGTATTTTTTGGTTGGGGGCTTACGATTAGCGTACCTTTATGTCTACTTAGTAGCAAGCTGCGCAACCCCGCTAAGGCTACATACGCTGGTACATACATGTTACTCTACGTAAATGCTATGTGCAGTGACCAAGATCCTTGAAGTCCTGCAATATTATTAGCTCACTCCGAGAGCTTCTTCCAGGTGACAGTCGATGCCACATACCCAGTCCCCATCCATACTACCCCTGAAAGTAATCGTTAAAGACCATTTTAAACGGAGCCCGTAAAGGAACAAACATCGTACTTGATCCGACTATGTTCTGCGTCTTTCAACGTTGCAGCTTGCGCATACGCCTGGGACTTGTTTCAAGATATTCAGCCGGCATGGAAGCAGCCATTCGGCACGCCTTTCCACACGGCCTTTGGATGGTGAATCATTCTGACTGACGCAGTGCTCAACTTCTGGACGTTGCATTGGCAAGTGTCATGTCAATGTAACTATACTTATGATTATTTATAACCCTATTTGAGGTACTTATGTCTTTACTTACTACGTCCTATGATCCTTTAAGTATCCCTGAACCGAAAATCCAAGCCCAAACTGCTTTCGGGCTACGGTTCTTAGCCCCAAAGCAGTGGTGGGAGTTTCCGAAAATAGGGGACCCTGATATAGCACCCAGAATAGGATCCTTAGTATAAGGAGCCCAGAATAAGATTCCCCCCCAATTTTCGGAAACTTGCAGGATCCCTTTAAGGAACCCTAGAAGGATCCCTTTAAAGGTACCCCTAATTTTCGGAAACTCCCAGGTCTCCTGGCAAGCTCCGGCCGTAGAACACTTTGCGCCGGAGGACTTCTCCTTCATGAACACATCTCTGGGCTCCTTTAAAGGGTTGCTATAAGGGCTCCTTTAAAGGGATCTATAAGGGTTCTATAAAGGGTTTAGGGTTTATAGAACATATGGGTGGTTGTCAAAATTAGGGTCCCGTTTTCTTGGGTCCTGAATATAATACGGCACCTATTGTTTAGGGTACCCAAAAAGGGACCCTAGTTTTGACAACCACCCATATCTTGAACCATATTATTACAGGCAGGCCCCTGTAGTTCCAGGTGTACTCCTGCATTCAGGCGAAACACTTTCGTCGCAATAGTAAGGCCCATATCGAGGGTAGGTTCTTCGACTAACCGGTACTGGGCGCATGGGTTCGTCAGTGCTGACCATATCAAGCGCTGCTGTCACTCTTTGTCTGTACCAGGGTCGGCTCTTCCATCCCGTCATTGAAGTCATGTCCAAGTGCCACTTTGTTGTTCTGGGACCCTCGTGATCATTGAATAGTCCGTCCGGAGGGTGCCCTTAAAAAAGGTGGTCACGGAAACCCGGAAGGGTCTCTGAAAGAGTTTATGGAGCCTGGATCCGAGATTTAGCGGGCCCTCCCTTCACCAGGCTTTTCTCACCTTGAATTCTACGTGGGGGGGGCTGATCAACATTATGCGCCCCTGTTGGTCCCGTAGATTAGAAGGAATACACTTTAATACAGATGCCAAAAGGGCCCTTAGTTTTGATCAATCCCCCATGTACTACAGGGGCCTGGATAATGACGTATACTATTTTGGTGGTTCTTTATCATATCTAGAGTATACCGGGCCCCAAAACCCTACTCTAATCATTAAGGCCCTTTTTGTAGCCTTCTCCACCAGTATCAGAGGGAGCTTCCTTTATCTGGCCCCGTTGGGTGCACTTGTGTTCTGAACCTAAAGGCTGTATTTAGGGTGTAGGGTTTCTGAAGCTACCATACTTACAGAATCCGGGGACTTAGAAACCAGGTCATGGTTAAATCTATGAATACCCTGATTGGGGTTGTCCGACATATAGCTCGTAGCTCTAATTTGAGCCTAAACATAAACCCTGAACTCTCAAAACCTACTTACTCAGTCCCTTAATTCTTTGAGCACAGCTCGAGAAGCGCACAACGGTCATCCTTGTTTCCTCCGGAGTCTAGATCGGGCTTTCTCGGTCTTTGAACTAGCGATGCTATTGCTAAGGGTGTGCATGAGTTGGTCCTTCAGGTAAGGGCGGGCATGTGTACCAAGTCTCTGAGAGTTGCTGCACATAGAGGATCAGGGGACGTAGTATGTACGTGTGTATATATATATATATGTACATATTTACATATGTATATATATGCATCAGTCTGAGAAACCCTGTCAGGTACTTAGACCTACACTGTTCACTTGCTTACTAAGTCCTCCCGTCCTCTAAGTACAGATCAGATTTTAGGGTAGTTTTGGATGTTGAGGTGAAACGGCTGTGGGTGCACAGGCCTTGTGATTACGCCCCTCCCAGCAGGAAGATCATCCACCTTCACCGCCACCGGGATTGGTGCAGCGCGATGAGAGGCATCGAAGACGCCCCCACTCAGTAATAGTTGAATAACATTCATAATATAGATATATTAGGACCTTAATAGTAGCCCTATTATGGACTCTTACTGTAGGGGGGCCGTACCCAAGGCATCTGCATTGAAGACGCCGCCACTCACAGCCAACTTTGTGAGGTAATGTAGAGGCCTTAGTAGTTACCTCAACTACTTCGGGGTTTCCTTACTATAATCAGGGTAGAGAAAGACCCCGAAAACCCTATCCCGAATTATGAAGGCCCCTGTTTTAGGCCATTCGGACATTCAGGTACTTTCCCTCATTGGCTCTGCGGGGGTCTTGCTCACGAATGATCTTCAAAGGGTTTGTAAGGCGCATGTAGTTTTCTGTGTTTCATGTCCCTTTCAAAGAGCCGGCCTCGAGCTGTTAGGCAATATATATTTGGGGGGGATACTATAACGGATAGATATCCAGGCATGAAAGAATAGAATTGAATACTCTCATTGGGTACTATACTTATGTAAGAGGCCTCGAGGAATAGTGCTATTAGTTATTCAGGCCCGGCATTACATGTTAATGGCAGGCACAGGGATGTTGAGATCTTGGTGTTTCAGGATCTACGTAATGTTGAGGGCTTTTTGGAATGTACGGTTTAGGGATGAGGGTTCTATTAGGGGTGTGTGCTCTGTGCCGAGTCAAGCTGCGGGAAGTGGCACAGCGTGAGTGGGCTTAGTGTTTATTCACAGCTTCGTCGAAACCCTGAACAACACTTCCACCCTCGACCGGGGCAATTCAGCCTCGAAGTGGGAATTTTTAACTGAGCAGTACATCGTTTAGGGCACTGAAAAGAAGGATCCTGTGTTTAGGGCCTCTTCCGACACCCCCTAAACCCCAAACCCGATTTTCCAAGCCTTAAACCTTCATCCAAAACCCACAAACCCTAAATCAAAAATAAATTGAATCCGAATGCGAATAATATGAATACCAATACGAATATCATTATTTCCTTTGTAGTTATCACTATTGCTAAATCCTAAAATCCCCTAGTAGGAGGGTCCTTTATTGAAAGGGTCCAAGGAGTGGCCCTTGAATCACAAGCAAGCCGTAAGTCGGAAATACCACCGAGTCCGTGCCTTTACGGTTAAGGGTTTACGGCTACGGCTACGGCTTATGGAAGAGGGTTAGGTGTCGAGGCTTTAGGCGGGTTTACTGAGGTTCTAGGGTTTGCTTCTCCAACCGTTAAACTAAACCACAGTAGGTAATTGTGTTAGGACAGCTTTGGCAGGCCACCCGTCGCTGAAAGGAGTACAGAGGCACCGGAACCTGCGAAAGCCACTTGTGTTTGAGGGCCAGATCTTCGGCTTTGGGTTTATCCAAGGGTAAATGGAGGGACCCTTAATAAGGACCCCTTAGGTATATACCCTTAATATAGCTATTATATACCCATTATATAGCGCATTATAGGGTAGGGTCCCCATTAAGGGTCCCTCCTTTTCCCCTTTGAGTTTAGGGCTTAGGGCCCAGGGTTCAGGTTTCGGGCGTGTGACAAGGGCTTTCGAGTTTAGGCGTTCGGGGGTTTATGCTTGTGTCCGTTCGGGTGGGGGCCCGCAAGATGTCAATTCGGAGAATTGCTGTAGTCTTGAACTCTGGGATTCCGCGATCTGTCTGGTGTTTCTGGGGGCTGGAAAGTGTGAAGCAAAGTTCAACAGGGGTCGGGATTACAGAGGGCGCTTGAGGGTGTTGTTGAGAGTTGTTGTGTGTTGCTGAACTCAAAGTTATTCACAGAGTCTGAACCAGTTGTAGTAATATTTCCATCCAGTCCCAAGGTGAATAACTTATAATGTGCCAAGAAACCCTGCGGTATACTATACTAGAGTTATGATTAGACGCTAATCACTAGACTACTATGTTCCGGCACATTTGCACTGTAGCTGTATTAGGAATTAAAAGGGGATACTTTGGGTACTGCCCAGACTTTAGTTGGATAACATCTGTATGATGGTTACATTATGACCCCTAATATGCGCTGTGACAGAGTGGGGGCCAGTAAGCAAAGGATACTAGTACTCCTGAGACCTGGTCCGAAGCCTACTGTTGATGATATCAATCCTGCATTACCCGCAATAAGAAATACAGCATAATTTCCATAGTTTAGGGTCCTTAAGGTAATGCAGGATTTGTACCATCAACCGTAGTAGTAGAGTAGTAACCTTTAACCTTTTTTGGGCAGTATAGTCCCTATATAACCCCTATATTATAACCGAAAAGCTTAACCTTTAGTTCCCCATGATACCCGACAAGTAGGGCTATGATGCATTGCTGCTTAACGGATCATTGGACTTAGTAACTTAAAGGGCTCCTTAGTTCTATAGGGGGAGGTTAGGGATATTAGAAGGATCATGGGACTTAGTAACTGGGGTCATAATTGTACGTATAATTACTTGTTTTAACCTAAGACAGGCACTTCTAAGCCCAGTTACTAAGTCCCATGATCCTCCAAATACAAAGTGCAAAGGAGTTAGTGTAATTTGAAGGTGATATTCCTTACAGTGGTTTGGAGTCCCTTCACAACGATGACGTCAGAAGCTTTCAATATGAAGCTATCCTAGCCGAAGCTCCATCCTCTTAAGTCTTTACTGGTCACCTCATCCGTACAGAAAACACATGGTATTTTCTGAAAATAGCAATCTTTGGAAGCCCAGAGTATGTACGTCATGTTTCTGGACCATTAGAAACGGTTCAACTTCGAGAACACCCCGCGTCCCAACCTCAAAACCCGAGAAGACCACAACCTAAACCCGAAACCCTATCCTAGCAGTAGAGTAGTAGCCTTTAACCTCTTTCGGTGTACTACAACCCCCATGTAACCTTCAAAGTAAACCTTTACGTCCCCTAGGGTTCTCCTACTGGCTAGGGTCAGTTATACTCTGAAAAACATGAGCCATGCAAAGCTCCAAATGGGAGTTTCCGAAAATTAGGGGTACTCTATTTGGGGTCCTCATAATAAGGATCCTATTATTTGGGGTACTATATTCGGGTCCCCTATTTTCGGAAACTCCAAATCTTTACAAAGCCCCAAACACCGAGCCCTGCTACCGGAGCCTCGGTATGTAGCTACACTTTAGTGTTCTGGGACTTTTTTTGAAGTTGTCAGAAAACTCCAAGAGACTATTATGGTTCGAAGGGCGCCTAAGCATACCGGGAACCTAGAGAACCTAACGGCTGAAGGACTTCTAATTCTACAAGGAAAATCCAAAAGGAACCCCGCGAAAGGTCACCCAAAAAGCTCCCACTCAGGAAACCGAAGGACGATGCCAGGATAGTTTTCGAGACCCCTGCACTGTTCAAGAGCCCAACAAGTCCTAGTAGACTACATCAGTTTTCAACATAGTAATATAATTGGACAGAGATGTATGTATGTATGTATAAATATGTATATACACATACACTCAATTTCTCCAGTTGTACTTGTATATACATGCGTATATATATATATATATATATATATATGTATGTTTGAATGATGAGGTGCCTGGTGGGACGCCACCGGAGCCTGCGCAGGCCGTGGGGGTCGGGTGTAAGCGAAACTATGAACCCTGCTCTTAGCGGCTTGTGCTCTTGCCATCTGCTTAGTATTTTCGTAAAGCCGTGTATGCTGCACCTGTTTACTCCGGACATTCGGACGATTGTGAGTCACTATGACGAGCCTGCATAGCATGCGGACATTACTAGCACGAGAAGAATGACTACGGTCTGACTACGTATTACTTAGTTCCATCGTTGTGAAGGCGTTCAGCGATCGCGTGTGTGTTTGTACCGCCCTATGTGGGAGGTTCTACCACTAGGGGAATTCTATCACACACCTTGAACTGGATGTCAACCCCGTCTAACGGCCACTGTTTGCATGAGTACGACTCTAAGCATCCTCAATCCAGTAGTTCCCTGTATTGTGATGGCCCTGGCCACATGGGTTCAGCATGGGGGCCTGAAGAATTCGCAATACTTGGATGGTCTTGGGGACTTAGTAAGTATTTAGGTAATAATTAGACTAGCTACTGATAACTCTATATGCAATAACTACTTAGTATGTCCCACCACCCTCCAAGTAATGACTCCACAAACTTGGTGGGGTGCGTGTAACGATTTCAAGCTGGGTGTAAGACTAGCCGACAGAAGGAAGTTATAAGTTGCCTATGTCGCCAGGGACCATTATGTCCGCCTTCTTTGATTTATCTGTCTACGTCATTGTCCTGTGCTCCTCAAACCTCCCAGATCAAGACTGATTTCAGGGCAATGAACCGAGAAGTGCTTGATGTAAGCTCTTCCCTGCGAGTTGGGACCCATGCTCTGCTGTGCGATTCTTCCTGTAACTCAACTCGTAGGCGACTTCTGAGAGTGCTTCGGTTAATGATACAAATCCTGCATTACCCATAATATGGAATATACCATAATTCACATAGTTTAGGGTCATGAAGGTAATGCAGGATTTATATCATCAACCGTGAGAGCATCCTTCACGACCAAAAGCCTTAGTTATTTGAGCGCACGCCCCGCACATTCAAGACAGGCACCTGGTCCAGCAAATGCAAGCATTACGAAGCATGCTGTGCCAGTAACCACTGGCTGTTTTGGCATATTCACAGCTTTACATACGGGTTCTAATTGACTCGAAAGGAAGGTAGATATTTCAGAAGGTCTTCTTGTGTTGAACTTGATAAGAAAAGCTTGACCGCCTGATCTGGGGACCTCTGATTTGCTTTCAGGTATTTGCGCATGTGAATTCTTCCGGGCTGTCTGGGCCAGCCCCCAAAACAGGAAGGATCAAAGTAGTTGCAACACCGCCCCGGATCCTAGCAGTCCTAGCAGAATGTAAATTTGTGGCGGTGTGTTCGGAGAACAGGCTGCCACTCGACTCGAGATGCAGCATCCCCTGACCGGAAGGCTGACGGCTGGCAAGATCAGCAATGGCAAGATGGTGGCACCGGCTGGGGTGACTGGCACGAGGTCGAAAGCGGCACACGGTGGAGCCAGCAATGGCAACAGTCAGATGCGTCCGGCCATTTCGACCCGGGTAGGGAAGACGAAGCCAGCAATGGCATCACGAATAGGTATGCGAGCAGAGGCTGGAAGTCGAGTTGCCGTCGGCAGCAACGACGGCAGTTGCAAAGGGATGGCAAAGAAGTCCCACCCGAACTGATGCCGAAGCCTGAGAAGGCATTAACGCAATCTCAGCAGGAACAAAGAAGGATGTTCCAGCAAAAACTGATCAGCCTGCAAAAGGCATTGGAACGTTGCAAGACCAAGTCAGAAACGGACAAGACCTGGGACTCAATTTTGAGAACCAAAAAAGAGTTGAAAGATTTGTTGGGACAGCCTGAAAAGGCCACTTCGTCAGCGGCTGCACCTGAGCCGTGGGACGAGCAGCCTGAAAAGGCAAATTCATCGGCGGCTGCGCCGGAGCCGTGGGAGGAGGCGCGACGTGGGGGACGGTGCTGTAGGGGCCTTAATCATTTGAGCCGGGTTCCTTTTAAAGGGGTCTTTAAGGGCTATTGTAAGGGTGTAATATAGGGGCCCACAGAATTACCCATACTATTTTTGGTGGTTCCTAGTTAAAATAGTAAAAGAATAGACCCCAATTCTTCGGGGCCCCCATATTAACCATCAAGTTCATTCGCATTTTACAGCCTATCACGTATCTCTGATTGATGCGCTGGTTGCGTGTTTTTAGGGGCTTCCAGGGTTTGGTTGGGGCCTAGGCCAAAGACCCGAAAGCCCGAAACCTTAATGCGAGTTTCCAAAAAGAGTACCCTAAATAGTAGGATTCTTGTTAATTATAAGTAGCCCAAAATACGGTACCCCTAATGTTCGGAAACTCCCTAATCGATTCAGGGCTCCAGCTTTTGCCATCGATTGCTGTCTGCCCAAGCCCTCCTTCAGAGATTCGTGCTGGGGTCGGGCTTGGTCTTAGCCATGCATCCTTAAGCCACTGAAATCTTCTGAGCCTTCTACCCGCAATCCCTAAACCCCTGAACCCTAAACCGTATCCGGATCCGCGGTTCCGAATGCGTAAGCAGACGGAAAGGGGCCCGCAGAAAAAAAACAAAAAAACGTATCAGTCCCCAACGGCTCATCAGTCTCCGAGTTTGGCTCACTGGGCTTCAGGTGTGCATGCTTGCGAATACTATCTTTGGGGCTCCTGATGGTAATTGCTTGGAGGGTCGGGGGACATAGTAAGTAGGTAATAAGCAGAGTCGAGTTATAAGTACCCTACATGCGATCCTAATTGTGGTTATGGTACTTAAAACTCTCTAAAAAAACTACTTAGTCAGTCCGCCGAACCTCCAAGTAGTATCCCGTGAGTAAGGAATATACCTTAAATTCTAGTAGGATCCCCAATATGGTTTAAGGTATATTCCTTGATTAAGGGATATTGGACCCTCTGAACAAGACAAACACCTCAAGGCCCTCTTAACAACATTAGCCCTCATAGTGCAAAAAGCCTTCACGGCTTGCCGGGTCCTTCGCGTGTCGGAAGCACGTAAACTCGACAGTGCATCTGAGGTTTAGGGCAATATGGGGCTCTGAACTACATAAAAATGTACCCAAGATCCTAAGTCCCGTACATTTGGACAGAACGCTTGCGGAGGATTCCTTGAAACAGAAAGACCTTTCTCACTGTGTCTCCAAGCGTGCTGCGAAGCCAAGTAAAGGACGACAACATTCAAATCCTAAACTCAAAACCTGAAGCCCTAAACTCTAAGCCGGAAACTCCTAAAATCCTAAACCCTACATACCCTCAAACGTCCAACACATCTCAACCCTAAATCCTTGAACTCTAAACCCTAACCCCCTAAACCCTAGCCTAAACCCTGAACTCTTTAAGCCTTCACGGTGAGGTGCCTCAGGGGTCTCGGCTGGAACCGGTGCAGGCCGGCGCACCTGTTTGAATAAGGATCATAGGACTTAGCAACTTTCCTTTAAAGATCTAGAGCATTGCCAAGTTTCGTCCATCAACAGCTCCGCGAGCATCAGTTGAAGACCCTCAACAGTTGAGAACCTGAGCGTGCCTTTTTGTTGCAAGCATTCGGATCAGCGCGCGATAACCTAAAGCCTGATACTTCGTACTTCGTACGACTCTTGCGGCCGGATTCTCAGAAGACCCGTGAAGGTTGGAAATTAGCAGGAGGATGTTTGCGGCCCTAAACCCTAAACCCTGCAATGAAAGGGTGCCGTAGTATTCTTGAGTTTGGGGGATTTAAAAAGGGACCTCAGTTTGGAGAACTACCCCTATCTAAACCTTGCAATGGCATTACTGCCGCGCCTCAGACCCATCCTACGATCCTCGGGATCTGGAAATAGGAGCCATTCCCAAAGCTTTGCTTTGATTGTGTAATAGCAAAGTAACATAGCACAGCGATGTCATTTACACCCTAAACAGGATGGCCTAGAGGCTGGATAGTCGGATAGAGAAGAGCCGACAAACAAATGAAGCGCTTCAGCCCTAAAATTCGTCAAGCCCTGAACACTTTGACTTCGGTTTTAGGGTTTGCCGTGTCTGTTATATCACTTTATAGTTTGTACTTAATATGGGAGCCTTAACAATTACCCATACCATTTTGGGCCGTTTTGGTGGTTCCTCATGATAATTATGGTATAGGTGCAATATACCCCAAAACCTTTTTCTAATTATGAAGTTCCTTATATTAGAGCTTAAAGACAGGAAGCGGACGGCTCGCCCCAAGAGTCGGATCCCGACGGCTACTTGCCTCCGCCATGGGCTGCAGAGGTGCATCTGCTTCGGCGGCTGATTTGGAGAACGTTTCAGGGTCTACTTGGAGGGTCGGGGGACTTACTAAGTAGTTATTTTGGAGAGTTATGAGTACCATAACCCCAATTAGGGTTCCCTTTAGGGTACTTATGACTCTACTTGTTGCCTACTTACTAAGTCCCCCGACCCTCCAAGTAGGGTTTAGGGTTTAGGTTGGGGGCTTTTGAGGGTTTTAGGGTTGAGACTTTTGGGGCCTATAGGGATCTGAAGGTGTCATTTTGAGATATTTTGAGGGTCGTAGGGCTTACCTGGCTTACCTGGACGCCTGCACCGCCACGAAATATCCTGGAACAGCCTAGGCCCAAAGCAAGAGGGGTTTCCATTGACTTCTAGTGATATCTCGTGCTTCCCGCAAGGAGCGCGTCAAAAGAGCTGTGACCGAAGCGTTGCATGATCCGGTCAACCTCGCCGAAAGTGCTACATGTCTGCAATGAACACAGGTACGTGCATGAGCAACGTATAAACTTCCAACCCGGCCCAGAAAGAGGTATACCCTACCGCTCCACAACCCCAAGCTCTAAAGTGCCACAGCCACAGCGTTTGAGTAAAAAGTACAGTAGCTTGACAGCACAGCAATAAGATAATGCCATCACATAATCATCAGCACAGTTCGTACTATGTACTGCAGCTCGTTCATTGGACCTCAGTGGTCACGGTAGGCAGTAGCTGCAGCCGCCCGCTCGTGTTCACGTAGATAGTAGCAGTTCCTACAGTTAGTCGTAGTGACCGTACACCGTGTGCCTTGTGCAGGGACAGAACAACCATGATAATCTGATAGCAGTCGTGCATCGGTCACATTGCAGCAAGACTGATTGCTTCTTGTCAGCAACTTGGTTTTTCACGCACAAAGTTTGCTGCAGCCGCTGCCTTCTGAAAAGGGCTTCGTCACCCAAAACTCGTTCGAGCAATAATTTGTTCGATACACGCCCTGACCTAGGAGTAGAGTAGGAAACCTCTAACGTGTTTATCAAGGAGGGTGTACTTTAATCCTGACATAATCCTGAAAAAGCTCCCATAGGTTAACCTTTACTTCCCCAGGATACTCGACAAGTACGATAGAAGCCTAGATTATTGTCAATACTTTCCTCAGGGTTCCTTATTTATAAACTCTACTATAAAGGAGTCCAAAACCGTCTATATTAAATCCTTATAACAGCCCTTGTAGTAGCCCTTATAGGCCCTGTTAAAACCCTGCTCTAATCATTAAGGACCCTATATTATCGAACTCTACTATAGATCCCTTATAGTAGCCCTTGTAGACCCCTTTAAAAGGAACCCTTTTCTAATTACTAAGGCCCCATCCTCAGGCTAAAGTCCCGAGCCCATGGTCTCCTGAAATCCAGAAGGCTCAGACCTGAGAGCGCAGAGGTTCGCGCTCTAAAGAGTGGCTGTAAGGAAAAACGATACTACGAATACTAATGCTGACATTATTCGTATAGTAATATTTACTCATAATAGTAATAGTCAACTTTATGGAGGGGCTTTGTAGGATTCCGATGTTCTCTTGATGTAGGAGTTTATAGAAGGGCCGTCAGAAAAAATGGGGGATTCCAAAAGGCGCAGCAGCGCCCCAGCACTTCGACGGAGACCTTTCCTGCCGAGGCCGCCCGAGTTGCTCAGGGCTTTGGGTTTAGGGGTTTAGGGTTTAGGGGTTTAATATAGGGGCCTCAATAATTACCAACACTTTTTGTGGTTCCTTATTATGAATATAGTATGATAGATTTAGGGTTTAGGAGTTTAGGGGTTTAGGGGTTTAGGGGTTTAGGGTTTAGGGTAACCCAAAAGGGGAGCTTAAGGGTTCGTTTAAGTAGGTATCGATTCGGGGTCGTTTTCAACCCGGCGAGAGTCTGCTAAAACTTTCCCTTATTGTGTCATATAGAGCCCTAACTATGCATAGTTTTGGGGACTGTTGAAATCGACACGTAGTGGAGGAAGTTTAAGCAAGTACGGCTTGTTAACAGGCATGGTACCCCCAAAAAGGGAGCATTTAACTTTAAAGGATCTAAGAACTCGCAACTCGTAGGGGTTCAGGCTTAGGGTGGTTTAGGGTATCAAACCGGTGGGGTCTGATTAAGAGGCACTCCTAATCCACTACTTGGAGGTTCATGAGACTTAGTAAGTACCAGTTACAAGTACCTTATCTGGGGTTATAAGTAAATATAAGTATAGTTACCGTATTTTATAACCCTAGTTACTAAGTCCCATGAACCTCCAAGTAAAACCCTAAAGTCCCATGAACCTCTAAGTAAACTCCTAAAGTCTCATGAACCTCCAAGTACAGACCCTCATACGGCACGGGTGCAAGAGGATGCTCCCCAGACGCCTACTGAGATGCGTGGCTTAGCGGCCTGGAACCCGAAAGTTTAGAATTAGCGCGCGGAGTTTGCACCCTACTCTTGATGATACAAAGCCTGCATTACCCATAATAAGGAGTATGCCACAATTCCCAAAGCCTAGGGTCAGTAAGGTAATGCAAGGTTTATATCATCAACCGTAGGATGTCTTGAGGATTACCATCTACGCTTGAGGGCGGCTCTTCTTTCCTTAGGCCCTCACCCGGCGGGCTCGAGGTAATATCGGAGCCAAGACAATTACCAATGCTATTCCTAGGGGCTCGAAGCGCTCCATCAGCGGAGCTGGTCGTTGCCCCCAGCACGTATAGTGCGCCGCCTTTGAGCCATTGCGGGTTCTGGCGGTCATTTACCATCACCCTCCTGGCATAGGGCTCTGCGTCGTCGCCGAGCAGCTGCCAGAAACGCCCTCCGACAAGGGCGTAGGTTGAGGGTCAGTCAGGCCGCCCGCCTTGTTGCGCATCACGCGTCTTCCAGTTCCCTGGTGGACCGTGTCTTACGCATGGGCAGGGGCAGCAAGCAGAAATGGGACGATGGCAAGCATGGCTACAATCTTTGGCGTGGCTCGTCTTATGTGTCGCCCAAGAGTCGAGGGCAGCCTTCCCGGTATGGCCAGAAGGGGCAACACTGGGATTGGTGGGAACCGCAGATTCCGAATGCTCCGACCTTCCCTGCCTTCGATGCGGCCCCAGCTGGCTCGGGTGGTGTGCCACCGCGCAAGGATGTCGACGAACACCCGAGACCGGCTCCAGGCGTCTTCAAGGGCTTGCAGGATGCTTTAAATGCGTTCAACCGTGCAGAGCAACGCGTGGAGCGCTTTGTTCGGACACAGGAGAACACAAAGCAGCAGTGGACGGATTACCAGCGCGCTATGAAGGAAGCCCTGGTGAAAGAAAAAGGCCGGTATCAGGCCAGGATGACGAAACTTGGCCGCGAGCTACAGGAGGCAGAGATGCAGAGGGAGGCCGCGCGTGGATGTGTTCGGTCTTTCCACTTGGGAGAAGAGGTGACAGAGCCTGCATCGCAGATGGAGGCGACAGATACAGAGGTGGACTCCATGTTCGAGCAGTGGATGGCCGAGCGGCCGCCTGGTACAGATTATCAGGAGATTCTGACCAGGGCTTTAGGTGCTCCAAGGCCTCCGATTGTGACCCCTACGAGACCTACCAGTTTGGCGCCGCGGACCCCCTTTGGTGGTTTCCCTGCCAATGCACCGCCTTCCTATTCTGCTCCGACTCCTACTGCGGTCGACGATCCGTACACGGCAGCCTCTCCTATGATCTTTGGTGTTGCAGCTCCACCCGGTACTGGGTCTGCTGCGGCACCCCCGGGTCTGGAACGCACTTCTCCCTTTCATCCTGGTCAGCGCCCAAGCAGGATGGAGCCTCGCCGTGGTGTCAAGGAATCTACCAAGATGGCGCCCCCGGCGCCTTCTGTGCATGGCAGTCTGGAAGAGAAGTTGCAGGCTCGCCGAGCTTTGAATCCCTTCGGGATTCCTCCGACTCCTCCCCCTTCCATTCCGGAGGGCATGCCGAGTGCCGTCCCTGGTACATCGGCCCTTCTGGACGACGACAACGAGGAGTTAGATTCAGATGGGGGTTCGCTCTCTGCAGAGGAGCTTGCCCACCTTCGTTCAGCCAGAGGCGGCCCCTCGGAGGCAGAGTGAGTAGGCTGGTCAAAGATGACGGGTCCGACGATTGGTGCCAACAAGTTGATGGGTTCTGCCGCCTACGGGAGCCTGACACTCGGAGTCCTACGGGAAAGGACTCTGTGATGCGCGTTTCCCTTGGGCAAGGCTTCCTCATCGAACTTGTTGGTGCGAACTGCTTTGGACACGTTCATACCTGTATAGCGCTCTTGTGCAGTTCCCCTTTTGGGTTTTTTGGGAATGTACAGTCTTGTAAAGCGCTGCTTCTGGGTGACCTGGATGTGCCTTCTCCCTACGGGCTCTGCTTTTCGGGGCCGGTCTCTTTCGTTTGCCATGTTGGATTTCTTTGGGCGTATGAATCGGGATATCCTCTGTGCTGTCCGGCTATCGGTGCAGCTTCCTTTCTGGGTATCATTTTGGTCCCTGTTGCGACAGACTCGGCGTCCGGGGTGCCTAACAACTACATCGGTGGCTCTGGGGTAGTGACCACGGTGACCGAGTTTGTTCCATTTCTGGCTGGAGGCCCATGTGGTTTGTGCTCGTGTGTGGTTCAGAGTGGCGCCGGCTTTCAAGGCTGCCCTCTTCCAAGTGGGCTCCGGTCTTCCTGTTTGGCTCATCCAGTTGGTCACGCTCTGTTTTTCCTTGCTGAGGTTGACCAGGATGATGGGTTCCGTTGGCTCCTGTCGGTTCTTGGCCTCCACCTGGCTGCGGTGGCTCGTTCCATCTCGGGAGTTATATTTCTTTGCTTGATTACTTGCCTTTGCGGGGCAGCTGGGTTGCGAAGCTGTTCGTTGCGGCGATCGGTGAGGTCTCCTTCGTCTGTTGCCCCTCTTGGGATGCTCCGTGGGCTTGGTTTTTGCGCGTGCCCAGGGCAGCCCGTTTTGCACTGGGATTCTTCGCGTCGGCGACAGGGGCACCATTCGAATCGGCCGATCGTCCGGTGCAATTCTTTCAAAGGCCTTCCTGCTCTTCTGGGTTGTGCCCTCCTTGGTTCCTTGCCTGGTCAGGTTTGGGCTGCTCCTCAGCAATTACGCGATCTTGTTCGGGCCGCTGCGGAGGCTCGTGAAATACGGCCTGATCCACTGGGGGTCTCTGCTGCTTCCGGGTCCTCTTTTGATGCTCCTGCAGCTTCCATTGCAGTTGAAACTGAACGTCGGGTGATAGTCCTTGTGCCTGGCTATGCTGTCCGTTGCATTAGCCTTCCCTTTGGGCCCTTGCCGGCAATCGAGATTTTGATGTCTCGGCTCTCTAATCAACTGGCATCTGCTCTTCTCCCTGTAGCAGCCACCTTGCTTCCTGCCTCACCTCAGACGGTTTCTGGCCTTATGGTTGTTGTTCAGGTTCCCTCGTGGATTGAGGAGTCGGATAGAAGGATTGTGGTTTTTGACTTTACACACTGTGGGGGGACAGTCTTTGCTAAATACTGCCCAGGTGTATTGCCTTATGCTGATTTGGCGGATCTTGCTGGCCGTCATACTGCGGGTGCATGGGATGCTTATGCTGCTTTTCAAGCGGATCCCATCCCCTATGGCTCTGGTACTGCTGTCGAGAATGGCATGACCATTCATTTTCGTCCGGTGCTCCTCAGACCTTCAGCCTGGCTCCCGCGCGCACTTGATTTTCTTGTTGAGCAGGAACTTTGGTCTGATCGTGCATGGGTTCCGGGCTTAGATGAGGAACCCACAAGATGGGTAGTTGTGGGTACTGGTCCTCCCTTTCTGATCGCTCATGGGGCGGTTTTTGACGAAGACCTTCAGGCTAAGATTGCGTGCCGCGTCCGCAATACAGGTGAAAGCGTATCCTTCTCACAGCCGGCCTCTGCTTTGTTGGGTCAGAGTTATGCATTTGAGGGTCAGCCTGTCCGTGGTCTTGTTGCCGCTGTTTCAGGCCCCCTTGGCAGAAGGCCTGCTACGACTGTCTTCGTTGACCTTCGGCCTGCTGGGGGGGACATCTTGGCCTTCGAACATGAACGATTGGCTCTTGCTGAGGCTGATGTTCTCCGGGTTGTTACATTGGGTGCCGTCTTTGGTTTCCAGCCATGTGTCGTCGGGCCAGTCGAAGTCACTTGGCCTGTTCTGGTGTCGCCGGGCCTCGTGTTCACTGTGGGTTTGACTCGGCATGATCCTGGACACTCGGATGTTGTAGGCCCTAGTGCGGATAATGGGATTGATGCCAGTATTGCCTCTCGGGTTGCCCCTAGTCGAGCACCACTGGAGGATGCTCAGTCTGAGCATGCCGAGGGTACTCTCCCCTTTGTGGTTTTTGTTCCCTCTAGGTCCCCTGAGGTTCTTTGGGTTCATTTAACCCCTCCTGTCAGTCTTGAGTTTGCGGCTTCTGCTGTTACTGCGCAGCGTGAGGAGCCATGGGCTCTCTGGACGGAGCACATGGTTTTTGCCGACCCTCAGCCTGATCGTCAATTTGCCTCGATTCTCGCCTTGCCGGTCTGGGCTGAGAACCACGTTGGGGTGCTTGTCGATGCCAGACGTGTGACTGGGCGGCTTTTCTGTGTGGTCTTGGATGCATGGATCCAGTGGGATGTGTTGCTGCGACGGCTTGACATCCAATCGGTCGGTGATGTTAATGTCTATGTAGCAGGTCGGTTT